CTCTGTGATAGCCTTGAAAAACCAACAACCTGTAATTTCAGTGGAAACCATCACCTTGGCAGCCATTGAAGGGAGCAGAAGAGAGTTAGAGATCCTTCAAAGCATCATTACCAGAGAATTATCCTTACCTGACCTGTCTTGTGGTTGCCTAGAATACAGTACTTATAAGGCTGTTGTACTGGATCTGACTCAGAAAAGTCTCCTTGAGGGTGCTTGTCTGAAACAAGTAGAGGCAATAGTTTAACTTTGAAACTGCCTGAGGTAGTAGATAACAATTGGGACAAACAATAGATTAAGCAAAATACTTAAAAAGGAAAACTGGAAAGGTTCCTGGGTGGCTCAGTTGGTTAAACATCCAACTCTTGATTTCAGCTCAGGTCAGGACATCCCAGTTATGAGATTGAACCCCACAATGGGGTTCCCACTGACTGTGGAGGTACTTAAGATTCTGTCTCTTTCCCTCTCCCTCTCCCTCTGCTTCTCCCCTCCCCCCCCGTCAAAAATAAAATAAAAAATAAAATAAAATAAAATAAAATGAAATAAAATAAAATAAAATAAAATAAAATAAAATAAAATAAAATGGAAAATGAGATGTCCATAGAGGGCTTTGAAAAGATCGGACATATTCTTGGAAATCAGAAGGCCACTTGAAGTTGTAGAGCTTTGAGTATGCCCAGGGCTATCCACGTGCCCAGGAAAGATCTGAGAAGGCCCTTAGCTCTCACCTCTGGATGATCTTGAGGCTCTGTGCAAAGAGAAAGTGAAGGCTAAGGCAAAGTTGGCAACTGCCTAGCTGAGTGCTGAAGGTGTGTCCCAAAATGTATGCAGAGCTCCTTGGCAAAGACTGAGAGAATTATTGGTTCCAGGCATTTAAGGAAATCTATGTCCAATCATGAAATGATACCTAAACTAATCCAATAGAGACTCCACTGCCCAAACATGACGAAGAATACAGACTTCACAGATCAGTTCAAAAGAGGAACTAAGTAAACAAATGGACAATGATAACAAACAGCAAAACAAACAAACTCCGAGGAGAGGGACAATTTTGTTTCTAGAATTGACACATCATATTATTTAACATGTCTGATTGTCAGCAAAACTTATAAGGCATGTAAAGAAACAAGGAAGAATGGTTCATGCACAGGAAAAAAATAGTAATCAGTAGAAAGTGTCCCCTACAAAGCCTAGATGTTGGACTTACTAAACAAAAACTCTAAATCAGCTATTTTAAATATGTTCAAAGAACTAGAGAAAACCATGCTTGAGAACTAAAGGAAGGAATGAGAACAATGTCCCACCAAATCAAGAATATCAATAAAAAGATTATAGTTAGAAATTATAAAAGAAATAAGAAATTTTGGAGTTGAAAGGTACAATAACTCATGAAAAACTCACTAGAGGAGTCCAACTGCGTATTTGAGCAGGTAGAAGAGTCATCAGTCTGAGTAAGAGAAAGGAAATAAAAGAATGAAAGAAAATGAAGAACCTTGGAGAAATGTGGGATACCAGGAAGCATAACGACATATGCATAATGGAAGTTCCAGAAGAAGGGGAGAAAATGAATAGGATAGAAAATATTTGAGGAAATATGGCCCAAAATTTCCCCAAATTTGATGACAAACATTAATATACACATCCAAGAGGCTAAACAAATTCCAGGTAGGGTAAATTTAAAGAGATCAGCAGCTAGATACATCACAGTCAAAAGACAAAGACAATGAATCTTGAAAGCTCGAGAGGAGCATCTATCATATACAAGAGATCTTCAATAAGATTAAGAGTCGATGTCTTATCAGCAACCATAGAAGCCAAAGGCAGTTGGAAGACATATAAAAAGTGCTGAAATGAAAAAAAAAAGATACTGTCAACTGAACAAGCTATCTTTCAAGATGGAAGAAAAATTAAGACATTCTCTGATGAACAAAAACTGGAAGAATTTGTTGCTTCCAGAGTCATCCTACAAGATATATTAAAGGAAATCCTTCAGACTGAAATTAGAGGACAGAAGACAGTAACTTGAATCCACAGGAATAAATAAAAAGCACTTCCAGTAAAGTCACCTACCTAAGAAATGAAAAGGGGGCGCCTTAGCGGCCTAGTTGGTTAAGTGTGCAACTCTTGATTTCATTTCAGGTCATGATCTCACTGTTCCATGAGTTTGAACTCCTCATTGGGCTCTGCGCTGACAGTGTGGAGCCTGCTTGGGATTCTCTCTCTCCTGTCCCTCTGCCCCTCCCTGCCCTCAAAATAAATAAATAAACTTAAAAAAAAAAGAAATAAAAAGAAAGTATACACGCAGTTTTAATTTATAACACATTTTCCTCCTATCTGATTTAAAAGACAGCTGCATAAAACTGAAATCATGAATCTGTGTTGATTAGTATATAATTTATAAAAGTATGATTTATATGATAATAACAGCACAGAGAGGGGAGGTAATGAAGCTTTTGTATATTGCTGAAATTATTTTGGTATTAATCTGAACTATGATGTTATAAATGAAAATGACAATTGTAATCCCTAGGTTAACCACTAGGAAAAATATTTTAAAAGAAGAATATTTTAAGGAAGAGAGAATTAAAAAGATACACTTAAATATCTAACACAAAAGGAGATAGCTTATGGAAGAATAGAGAAATAACAGACATAAGATATATAGAAAACAAATAACAAAATAACAGACCTAAATCCTGTTTTATCAGTAATTAAATATAATTTGCATTAATGTAAATACTTAAGTATTTAATGTAATTAAATACTCCAACTAAAAGGCATAGATAGGAGAGATGGATAGAAATACATGATCCAACTATATGCTTTCTAGAAGAAACACACTTGAGGTTCAAGGACATAAATAGGTTGAAAGTAAAAGTATGGAAAAAGTAAGCAAACAGTAACCAAAAGAGACCTGGAGTGGCTGTACTAATATCAGACAATTTAGACTTTCATAGATTTTTAAATTGTTACTGGAGACAAGGACATTTTATAATGTAAAAGGGTAATATATCAAGATGATATAATAATTATAAACATATATGCACCTAACAACAAAGTTGTGAAATATATGAAGCAAAAACTGACAGAATTGAAGGGAGGAATAGACAACAAATAGCTGTGAATGTCTATATCTCACTTTTTAAAGTATTTATTTATTTATTTATTTAGAGACAGCGCAAAGTGGGGGAGGGGCAAAAAGAGAGGGGGACAGAGGATCTAAAGCAGGTTCTATGCTGATAGCAGAGAGCCCAGTATGGGACTTGAACCCACAAACTGTGAGATTATGACCTGACTGGAAGTCCAACCCTTAGCCGGCTAAGCCACTCAGGTGCTCCTATATCTCACTTTTAATAATGCATAGAATTAGGGGAGAGATTAAAAAGGAAATAGAAGACTTGATCAGCACTATAAACCAACTTGATCAACACTACAGACATCTGTAGAACATAGCACCCAATAACAATGGAAGACACATTCTTCTCATGTGCACAAGGAGCATTCTCTAGGATAAACCATATGTTAGGCCATAAAACAAGTCTCAATAATGTAAAAAAATGGAAATCATACCAAGTATGTTTTCCAATCACAATGAAATGAAATTAGAAGTCAGTAGCAGAAAGAAATTGGGAAATGAGCAAATATGTGGCAATTGAACAGCATACTTCTAAATAACCAATGAGTTAAAGGAGGAATCATGGTAAATTAGAAAATACTTTGAGATGAATGACAAAGAGAACATAATATCAAAACTTATGAGATGCAGCAAAAAACAGTGAGCAGAAGGAAATTTATAGCTGTGAACACCTATATTAAAAAAGAAGGAAGATCTCAAATCAGTAATCTGACCTTCTACCTTAATAAACTAGAAAAGGGACCCCTGGGTGACTCAAGTCATGGCCTCAAAGATCATGAGATTGAGCCTCACATCAGTGTCCTTGCTGTTTTTGGGATTCTTTCTCTCCCTCTATCTTTGCCCCTCCCCTGCTCACACTCACGCGCTCTCTCTCTCTCTCTCTCTCTCTCTGTCTGTCTCTCAAAATAAATAAAATAAACATTAAAAAAAAAAAGAAGATGCTAGAAAAAAAAGAGCAAACTAAGCTTATAGCAAGCAGAAGTTAGGAAATAATAAGGATTAGATTGGAAAGTCAGTGAAAACCAGTACACACCCAGTAGAATTGTTGAGATTGAAAAGACTGGCAATACCAAGTGTTGGCAGGGATATGGAGTAACTGGAACTCTGGCACTTTACTGGCAGGAATGCAGTGTGGTACAGCCATCTTGGAAAACAGTTTGCCAGTTTCTTATAAAGTTAAGTGTATACTTGTCCTATCAATTCCACTCTGAGATATTTACCCAAGAATCAGGCTATTTTTCTCATAAGTTGGAACTTCAGATAAGAACACAGTAATTCTTTAAGAGAATATCACCAAATAAAACTTTCCAGAACTGCAGCTGGGTGGCTCAGTTGGCTAAGCATTTGACTCTTGGTTTCAGCTCGGGCCATGATCTCATGGTTCATGAGTTCAAGCCTCACATTGGACTCAGAGCTGATGGCGCAGAGACTGCTTGGGAATCTCCCTCTCCCTCTTTCTCTGCCCTTCCCCTGCTCGTGCTCTCTCTGTCTCTCAAAATAAATAAATAAACTTAAAAATATAATAAAATTATTCATTTTAATCCCTAGGAGTCTTAAAATGAAACTCTAAGTGAAATGGCTTATCCTAATTCCTGGATCTTATATATAAATATATTTGGGTTTACATAAAGTAGATTTGAGAACAGCATGCAACTTATTTTTTTAAGTTATTGCTTGTATAAGAGGGTCTCAAAATTTGCTCTCCTTGAACTTTTTTGTCAGCCAGAGGTTGGTTGTAGATAGCCCAAGAACAACATGACCCAATGACTGACCCTTCATTTGGAACCTAAAGTTACAGCTTGAGTTTTCTGGTGTCATTGTGGGTTCATTCTCAGATTTTGGACTTACTTTCTTTCATATTTTGTAGGTTTATCGCCATGCCTCTAGCAAAAGCATTTGGCATTAAAGAGGAAGTTAGAAAGAAGATTATACCAAATACCATCTTAGAGAATTTTTTCAAATGTTCCACAAGGCAACCATCTCAAGTAAGTACAAAGTCTTTGTTTGGGGATTAAAAAAAAAAAAAAAAACAACAACTCCTTTCTTAATGTTTCAGTCACCAGTGGTTTACCTCATCTGTACAAGATATCTGTTCCAGTTAACCATTAAATGATTTGATTCATTTGGATTTTTTTTCCCTCTATTGAGGGCATATGTTATATGTTTGGAATGCATTCCAAACATAATATAAAATGACAAGTAAATATTATAAAATAACCAATGTTCGTAGCTGAACTATTGTGTTCAACTACAATGTTTAACAATCAATGCCATAATTTAGGTATAAAGATCAAAATTAAATTTTGGAGGGTAGATATGCCAAGTATACTAATATATACACAAAGTACAAAATATACTTATACAAAAGTATACTAATCACAAAAAGACCGTTGTTAAGGCAGAGTAGCTCCTATCTGAGACTTCTGATGATTGTGGCACCATTGATATACATTGCACACATTTTTAAAGTCTTAACTGGGATGGCTTTTGTGAGAAGGGGCACTTTATTTTATCCAAGGCCTCAACACATTCAGAAATGTGCTGTGCTCCTACGATGCCCCAGAGATAGAATTTTTAGGAAAGTCAGAATTCTATTCACAATACAAGATGCACTTAATGAAATATTGTAGTGCACTGCTTGTGTGCATAACATTTAAAAAAAAAGGGTTTGATGTAATGGCTGTAAAAAAGATAATGTCTAGGCAAGTCTAGTTTCATTTTCCCACCATAGTTAAAATGAGAGATGGAATACAAACTGTTTCAAAAGTGGCACACCCTCTATGATGACTACAGACAGCAATCACCGGTAATTTTGGAAGTCAAGAGTGTATGCTAACACAGTTTAGGATAGATAGATTTTTTTACAGTTTATTTATTTTGAGAGAGAGAGAGAGAGAGAGAGAGAGAACAGGTGAGGGGCAGAGAGAGAATCCCAAGCCAGCTCTGCAGTACAGAGCCTGATGCAGGGCTCGAACCCACGGACCGTGAGATCATGACCTGAGCTGAAGTCAAGAGTCAGTCAATTAACCGAGTGAGCCACCCAGGAGCCCCTAGGATAGGTAGATTTTTAAGGGTGCTGGACTTTATTTGCTGAATTCAGTTGTTTCATGATAACTGTTTCTATTGTTGGTCTGGTGGGCTCCCTGCCCAAACAAGGCATGTGGAAGTCTGAGCACATAACATGAGGCATCATGTCCAGAATAGTTCACAGCTAGCCAGCACTGTCTGTAACTTATTCTGCCCTCAGCTTCTGTCCTGGAATTCTTTGTTTTTTCTAAAATGAGGACAGTCTGACAAGCCATTTCCACGTGTTCTTTGTTTCCACCTGCTGTAAATGACTGCTGTTGTTTAATTCAGTACTGTTGTTACTACTGGTGATGATAGTGCCCACACATCATTTCACATTTCTTGAAATGTGTTTATGAGAAATTGAGACTCTTTCAGAGAGTCCCTATTATTTTTCTCTCTTTCTGTTTGAGGACAACGAACTTGGGTAATACCTTATATAACACATAAAGAACTGTGCTATGCTACCCATCACTTGCTATATTTGTTATAGCAAAACCTTCAGGTCAGCTTTTAGGAAATTTAAAATTATGTAGAAAATTTTATCTTTATCAAGTCTCCCTGCTGTGGAGAGAAAAGAGCCATGTGACAGTTGAAGAAGTACTAACATAACATCTTGCACAATTTTCTGTGCGTTGTAGGTATTGTTTTATATATCAATAAGAAAATACTTCTAGAGACTTTTGTTTGCAAGAGGATTCTATCCCAATAATATTAGAGTGTATGAAGCCAGTATTGTCAAGACTGATGTTCAACCAGATTCATCTGTGCTCTAAAACAGAAAATAAATTTCTTCAAATCATGTTCGAGTGCTATTTCTAGATGCAATTTATTAAGCAGATATCTGTAGAAATGATGGGATAATAAAATTGAGTTGTTCCCAGATTTGAGAAGATTCCAGTATGAGAGCAGGGACTTTCTTTTGCTCACTGACGAATGTCCAACATCTAGAATGGTGCCTGGCACTTGTGAATAGAGGCCCACTAAATATTTTCGAATGACTGAATATATAAAACTTTTGTAACAGTCAAACTAGACCCAGAACTCTTTCAGTCTACAAGCAAATAGGATATAGTGCTGCAGCATAGCAGTATATGTCCTACTGGGGACCAACCAACAGCATTTGAAGCATGTCCTCTGTTTCGAGAAATCAATTCTTGCTTGCAAAGTATTTCAGAAATAAAGGAATGTTTTTTCTTAAATGATTTTCAGCCCGTGGTGTCCTTTCTGGGTTCAGCCATAATCTCTGGCACTGATGTAGCACAGGATAGTTTGCACAACACGTTTTCCCTCAGGAGCCCCCAGATCCTGTAACCATCCCCGTGAGGTGATGCAGGAAGCAAGCACTTATGCTGTTAGCACCCCATTTCCACAGGGGGTCAGAGGAAGTGCTCTGGGCTACCCAGCGATGAAGTAGCAGAACTGGGTCCTCTGCTTTCAGTTCCCTGTCATATTTTGTTATGGAAATACTGTGTTCTTGCTTCCTGTGAGGGAGTTTGATATGCGTGGGGCTCTGGGGCTCGTGGGTTAGGGAATCTAGACTTCCAGAGTTGTCCAGCACAAGGTCCTCGCTGTGAGATCAGAGGGATTGGACAAAAAGGCCAAAGATGTCCATCTCCAGATGTGTTCCTGCACCTCCATTCAGTTCACACCACAAGAGGGGGACTTAACAGTGCAAATGTCGGTCACCCCCAAGATAGATCCCCAACAAAGCCCTCCTTGATGTGAGCCTAGCCACATTTTCCCTCCTTTCCTCTTCCTATGTTTCTACCCAGCCAGACTTCTTTCTGTTCCTCAGGCATTCCCTGTGCATCCACACTCTCATCTCCAGACGACCTCACATGCTGGACCCTCTGCCGGGACACTTCCCTTCTTTATCCTCTCCTTCTCAGGGCATTTTTCAGGGTCCAGCGTATGTGTGACTTCCAGGAACTGCTTACACAGAGTTAGGTCCCATGGTATCCTAATCTTCCCCTGTCTTAGCACTCTTGGGATTTGATTAGAATTCTTTTATTTTCTTACTTCCTCACCAGACAGACTGTACCCTGTGAAAGGGAGGCCCACATCAGGGTTACTCATTTGGACCTCCAATGACTGGCACAAGGCCTGCAAGAAGTAGACACCAATCAATGGTTTTGCCAACTCAGTCTCCTCAAGAGCACAAAAGCAAAACAACAACAAAAACAACAGCAGGTGAACCCTTGGCCTATAAAAAGAATAGGTATTAGATAGGGCAGTTTACCAGAGTATAATATGGGCTATATCCTGTTTTTGTTTTGTCTTGTTTTCCTTCTTGCAGATTAAATAACAGGTAGCAATTTAGTAGGGACATAGAAGCTCCAATTAGTCTTTTGCGAGTCTTTAGCGTGAGAGCTTCGTTTTGAATTTTATCTACTGTTACCTTGTGCGACTGAACAATTATGTGAATTATGCACAACAACATAGCAGAAACTGTATGACTGAACACAGACTATTGGGTGTCCTGCCACTGGGGAGGCTTTGTTCGGCCCTTGCAATGTTGATCCACAATTGGTTTTTTTGTTGGGTTTTTTTGTTTGTTTTTTGGTTTTTTTTTAATGTTTATTCATTTTTTGAGAGACAGAGAGCCCAAACCAAGTGGGGGAGGGACAGAGAGAGGGGGAGACACAGAATCCAAAGCAGGCTCCAGGCTCTGAGCTGTCAGCACAGACGCGGGGCTCAAACCCATGAACTGCGAGATCATGACCTGAGCTGAAGTCAGATGCTTAACCAACTGAGCCACCCAGACGCCCCCAAAATTGGTTTTAAATTTATTTTGATAAGCACCTGGTGGCTCAGTCAGTTAAGCATCTGACTCTTGGTTTGGGCTCAGGTCATGATCTCACGGTTCGTGAATTCAAGCCCCGCGTCGGACTCTGCACTGACAGTGCAGTCTGCTTGGGATTCTCTCTCTCTCCCTCTTGTTGTGGCCCTTCCCTGCTTGCACACCTGCTCTCTCTCTCTCTCTCTCTCTCTCTCTCAAAATAAATAAATAAAATTAAAAAAGAAATTTACTTTGGGGTATTAGTCATCAACATTAAAATCCCTGGTGATTTCACATAAAAGCTCTGTGTGTACACTTGGACTCTGGGAACCATCAGCCAGAGCTTGTTCACGGCTGCACTCTTGGGGGAGGGCACGTGCTTTTCTGTCCACCACATCTGTGGCTCCTGCTTGTTTCCTCCACACTGAAGCTGAGGGCCAGTATGAAATTTTATTTTTTTCTAGTGACGAGAAAATTGAAATATTTCTTGTACTGGTGTTGGAAAATGAAAGATCAAGAGAGCAGGTGTTTCAGAAAATTACAGAGCTAATTTCTCCATGCTGGCTGAAAGAACTGTGGGTTTAATGTATAAAACCTGCCTGTGTGAAAAGAATACAACTTCCAATCCCACCACGAAACAGACCTGGTCCACTCAATCATATTTGTTTCTTGTCTGGCCCAAGGAGAACTTCGAGTTTATGACCTTTGGGCTAATCGATCATCCATATTATTTCCAGATTTAAATAATAATTTCTGCCTCCCAGAAGAGAAGCCATCATCACTATTATATTCTGCAATCTTTACTTTTTTTTATGATTGGTATTATTTTGGATTCATTTGAAATAGGCTCTACATCTGATTAAATGTGAAAGTGATGGCCAACACCTGTTTGTGTCTTTCCTGTATTATCTTTTGGAGCCATCAGAAAGATCTTGTGAAAAAACAGAAAGTGCATTAGCCTAAGTTCTTGTCCTTGCTTTCCTATTAACTTTAGGTCTTGGAAAACTTACTAACACCCTTGGTGTTCCAGCTTCTCATAGGAAAGATGAGGCAGTTGGATCTGATCAAATCTAAGCTATGCTTCTCTACCTGGTACCTGGGAAGCCCTCGATAAAACTTAGCTGATTGAGTGAGCTCACATATGCAGCTTGAATGTATGGGTTGCTGCCAACTTACAGAGAATTGATCGTTTTTAGTAACTCAGAGTGCTGGGATACTAACAGCCTTTTTTTTTTTTTTCCTGTGTATATGTGTGCGTGATTCCATAAGCAAAAGAGGCAAATTCACTGGCCCAAGATCTAACACACAGTCTCTCTCCTCTCCAGTGCACAAGCTCTTGTAACCCAGTTGCACTGTCTCTTGACTGCTGGCCAATATGACTGCTCTTTATCACTTGTTCATTCATTTTATCGCCTTTCAGGCTGATATTTATGGACTGGCGAAGAAGTGTAACTTGACAGAGCGCCAGGTGGAAAGATGGTTTAGGAGTCGGCGGAATCAAGAGAGGCCTTGCAGGATGAAAAGATTCCAAGAAGCTTGGTAAGTAGGACAGTTCAAGCTTTTGAAATGTCGTGATTTTACATGGAGCAGGATGGTCATTTCAGAAAGAACATTGAAGTTGGAGCAGAAGAAGGGTTCGAACCCAGCTCTGTCACCGACCAGTTGGGTGTTTTAGGCTAGTCACCCATTGACCTTCTCTGCTTCAGTTTCCTTCTCCATGAAATGGGGCATGCTATGAGCTCTCTGAAATGAATAGGACATATTATGTATTCACCTTGAAGTCCAGAAAAATAATACAAATGTCTTAACTGGTGTTTATTTTTTCTAGGGTAGAGGTTGGCCTTACTTCACAAGACTTTATCACCTGTTTCCAATTACTGTATCACATTATAAGAGCAGAAAATGAGACGGTGTCTGTTCCTCTGTCTCGCTTGGCTCCTCCCCACCCCCCCCAGCCCCTCCACCCCTTGCCTGTGGACTGGATGGCCAATTCCTCTGGGTTTCCCAGTTGGTTTTAGCAGGGGAGTCAGGGTAGGCTAGGGTACCAAGTAAGATTTTTCAGAGCTGGCTACTTTGAATATGCTCTGCAGGCAGTGAGGCCGCATTGCACTTGTTTTTGGTTTCATTTGGGCTCTGTGGGTTTTTTTTCCCCCTCCTGTAGAATTTTGTTGTACTTTGGGTTACTCCCTTGGTGGCAGAAATTGATACCTGTGTGAAAAAGGAAGACTAGGTCATCACTCTTACTCTTTTCCTCCTCTTTTGTTTTCCTTTTTTCTTTTTCTTGAGAGAGAGAGAGTGCATGAGTGGGGGAGAGGGGCAGGGAAGAGAGAGAGAGAGAGAGAGAGAGAGAGAGAGAGAGAGAGAGAGTTTCAAGCAGGCCCCATGACCAGTGCAAAGCCCGATGTAGGGGCCTGATCCCACGACCCTGGGATCATGACCTGAGCCGATATCAAGAGTCAGATGCTTGGGCACCTGGGTGGTTCAGTCGGTTAAGCATCCAACTCTTGTTTTCAGCTCAGGTCATGATCTCATGGCTCATGAGTTTGAGTCCCACGTCAGGCTCTGGTCTGGTGGTGCAGAGCCTGCTTCGGATTCTCTCTTCCTCCCCTACTCACTCGGTCTCTGTCTCTCTCAAAATAAATAAATAAACTTTAAAAAAAAGAGAGAGAGATGCTCAACTGACTGAGCCACCTAGGCACCCCCTTTTCCTCTGCTTTGCATCCAGACAAATGCCCATTTATTGGGCTGTGTTTGATTCCACATTGTATACACTAATAGCATCCCTCCTTCTTCCTCTTTCTTAAAGTTCTCTCATTGCCGGTGATTTTCACCAGATATATTTTTTTATTTTAATGGTGAAGTGAATAGCGAGCTGATGTAAGAGTGTCAAATAAATAGAGTCTGAGGCTAAGCTTTAATGGCTTCCTTCAGTTTACCTGGATATTCCTGACTGATATGATCTGGCTGTGGTGCTGATCGTGTGTAGGAGTACAGCCTACGTCTTCAGGGTGTCTCAAAACAGTAATTTCTCATCACTGGCTTCCAATTGAAGTTCAATGTGAATGTCCTGGTTTGTTTTCTTTTCTCTTTTCTTAAGTGTTTATTTATTTTTGAGAGAGAGAGAGAGAGAGAGAGAGAGAGAGAGAGAGAGAGAGAGAATGAACAGGGGAGGGGCAGAGAGAGGGGGAGACACAGAATCCAAAGCAGGTTCCAGGCTCTGAGCTGTCAGCATAGAGCCCAACGTGGGGCTTGAACTCACAAACAGTGAGATCATGATCTGAGCTGAAGTCAGACACTTAACCGACTGAGCCACCCAGGCACCCCTCCTGGTTTGTCTTCTAACTAGCTCTTTGATTTTTAGCTCTTGAGAGATTAATATTGTTGCCACTGATGTCAACTTGGCATGACAGAATCTCTTTTTTTTTTTTTTTCAACGTTTATTTATTTTTTTGGGACAGAGAGAGACAGAGCATGAACGGGGGAGGGGCAGAGAGAGAGGGAGACACAGAATTGGAAACAGGCTCCAGGCTCTGAGCCATCAGCCCAGAGCCTGACGAGGGGCTCGAACTCACGGACCGCGAGATCGTGACCTGGCTGAAGTCGGACGCTTAACCGACTGCGCCACCCAGGCGCCCCGACAGAATCTCTTTAAACCATTAGTGCAAAACACTAAAAAGTCTCATATTACATATTACATCTTCCTGTTTGCCTACTGTCATTCATTAATTTTTTTCTAGTAAATGATTCTTGTCTTAAATAAAGTCCCCAGGCAGGAATTAATTGTCTACTCCTGAGCTGGATCATGCGCCCCTGAAAGTCTGTGGTAATTTCTTATACATTACAGCGCCTTACAGCTTAAAATTTTTTTTAATGTTTATTTATTTTTGAGACAGAGAGA